CTGCCAGGGCCAAGCAAAAGTCCAGTCGGCTCTTTCCTGCCGGAGTCCTGTTCCCCATTGCTGCGTGGAGGGGCTCCAAAAGTCCTCCACAGTGGGGGAAAACAGCAGGTGGCTCAAACCCAGGCAGCAGAAGCGGGGCCGGGGGCAGAGCGGAGGCTACCTGCGCGGCGTGCCGCATCTGCAAAGAGAGCGTGGCACGGGGTGAGCGTGGCGGCACCAGGATCTTCAGGCTCACTCACTCTGCCCTGGGACCCCTCTCCCTGTTCCCGGCCTCTCTGGCACTGAACTGTGGGATCGGGACCGCAGGCGGCCTCTGGACAGGGAGGAGCAAAGGGGACGGGGCTGTGGGGAAACGCGAGGGGAAAGGGCAGCCACAGGCACTGTGCCCCAGAAGCGTCTGCAGAGACGGCCCAGCCTGTGCTGTTACAGCGAGCGGTTAGACAGAGTCAGCTAAACGTGGGGAGGGAAAGGGTAGAGTAACCCAAACAATGACTAGCCAAGGACTGCAGGAAGGACACGGCTGGCAGCAAACGAGGCTGAAACTGGAAATTCATGGATCCAGGAAACCCAGCATGGTCTGTGATGGTGATAGAGCTACACACCAAGTCACCCAGCCCATCCATCCCCACCCTGGGTGGGACTGGCCAGCTTCGAGCAGCTGAGCCTGGAGACTTCTACTGAGCCTTCAGCAAAAGGCCTGTTACCCCGCAGCCACCCACTGTGCCCTCCATCCTGCTTTCTCCTGTGTCGGCTCAGCACAAACCTCTCACTGCTCACAGCACCAGTAAAGACCTAAAGGCTTAATGAAGCTGCTTATCCCAAATAAATGAATCCAGAAGACATCACCCATACCTGCCCCTGCTCACTTACAGTTCACAGTCTTTACGTCTCTTCTTGTCTTGTCTTCTTTTACCTCGGCCCTTGGACCTCCTCCTTCAAAAGGAAAGTACCACAAGAGAGGCTGATGTGTGAGAGATGAGACCCACAACCCCAGACGGTAACGCCACCCCTGACATGTCTTACCTTCCCAACCTCATCAGGTCCTGCCGGGGCCTGCAGGGTGGGAAAAGGACAGAGTGAAGTGGTGACTCAGGCAATGCTGTCTGTTGAGTTGCTGGAGGTGGTTTATGGAGATGCCCCAGTGCGCAGCACAATCTACCTATTATCATTCATGCTTAAAATAGACCCAGTACAACTGCTCTGCACATTACCATCTCCTCATCCAGGAGCTGAACACAGTAGACAGAGAGAAGGCAGAGACAGCAAAGGGGCAGGGGACAATCAGCTTTGGTGACTCCCCTGCAGATGCAACATTTTGCCCATGAGGTCGGGAAGCACAGGTTCAGTTTCCAGCTGCTCTCACTGACAGCTTTCATAGCTCAGCTGGTTAAACAAGATGCAACGTCCTGAGTAGCATGTGGGATTTTCTGCAGAGTCTCAGCAGTGGTTCTCAGACAACAGCCACGACATACTTGGCTTAAGCATCCCCAATAGGGGCCAAGGCCAGGACATCCACCACGCCTACGCTAAACTTCAAACGGGAGCAGTGTAAAGGTGTGGAAGGTGGCTTAAGAAGAAGCCAAAAGGTGCTGCAGAAGCAAGAAGTTTACGCAGATTGAAAGGCAGCCTGCACAAGTGCTCGTAGGGGATCCCCTGGGAGTTATCCTAGGTAGGAAAACCACAACAGGCTCAGGAAATTCCCTGCTGCATGGAAAATAACTGGAAGTGGAAAGTGGGGAAATAACACATGTGCTTCTTCCCACTCCCTCCTCTGCAACCACCCACAGATGCTCCAGACAGCACGGAGCTGGATGGGCCTTGGGTCTTCTCCAGCACAACTTTTTTTTGGGGAATACCAACCCAGGGATCCTCAGGCTCTTATTCCAGGCAAGGGTCACATCCAACAGCTGCCCAGAAGGACACTCAGTCCCCAGTTTTCGCAATGCTAAATCGCCCTGGGGTCATGATGGAGAGCAACACCAGGACCCTCTGTGCAGTGCCAGAGACACTCTGTGGTGGGGACCAGCTGCAGGCGGCACCGGGGCTGTTCCTCACTCCCACAGCACCTCAGCCCCAGGGCAGAGGCTGCGTCCTGCCCAAGCTCTCACCACTCCTGGGGCACAGCGAGCACCCCGAGGGGTTACCTACATGCCAGGAGTCTGTGGCAGGTTAGTGCTGCGCATCCATCCCAGGCCAGCCCTGTGCGTCCACGCCAGGTTGGTGCTGCACATTTAAGCTTTTGTTTGTCAGTTTGGATGTAAACCCTGCTCCTCAGCCCTGGATGGGGCAGCCTCCCTTAAACAGAGCCCCAAGGCCCAGCCCTTCAGCTTTCTCTTTGGGCCACAGTCACAGAATCATAGAACGGTTTGGGTTGGAAGGGACCTCAAAGATCATCTAGTTCCAACTCCCCTGCCATGGGTAGGGACACCCTCCACTACACCAGGTTGCTCAAAGCCTCATCCGACCTGGCCTTGAACACTTCCAGGGATGGGGCAACCACAACTTCTCTGGACAACCTGTTCTAGTGCCTAATCACCATCAATGTAAAAAATTTCATCCTTATATCTAAGTCTAAATCTGCCCTCTTTCAGTTTAAAGCCCCTTATCCTGTCACTACACACCCTTGTACACAAGTCCCTCTCCAGCTTTCATGTAGGCTCCCTTCAGGTACCGGAAGATGCCCAAGTATGCCAAGCCATGGAGCTCCCTGCTAAGCCACGGCCTTGGGTGCGCTGCCCCACACAAACGCTTGCCTCAGAGGCACCAGCCTTGCTCCGTTACCCACAGGCAGCTCCTCCAGCCAGAGGAGCACAGGCCAGGCACGCCAAGACAGCCACAGGGATGTGGGCACAGACATCCCCGCTCACAGAGGCAGGGTGCCGTGGCAGCAACAGCCCTGCAGACAGCGCACGGTGCCTGACCTGGCTGCACGACACTACGCACCCCCCGGGCTGCGGGGAGCAGCTGCGGAGGCACGGTGCAGCCTGCAGCTGGGCAAGGGCCAAAAGCACCGGCAAACCTCAGTGCAGAGACACTGGGGGCGGGCCCAGCACGGCCAGGGTGCCCCCAGGGCATCCTTGTCCCACAGGCAGGGTGAGCTGGCAGGGTCGTTCTTGCGGGAATGGTGCAAAACGAGTCCGGGGTTCCCTACCTGCACTCGCACTGCTTGTGCTCGGTGAACGTCATCTCCACGTAGGGTGCCTCCCCGTTCGGCTTTATCTTCAGGAGCTGAAAGAGGAGCAAAGGTTACTTCCCAGCCAGCGGCAGGAGGGGGCTTGAAGGGCTCCCGCAGCACCGCCTCGCCACCCTAACCTCTCGGGCAGACGCGTGTCTAACCTGTTCCTCGGGACCTCCGGCAGCGGAGACTCCACCTCCGCACGCAGACAGCGCCGGCCAGGCCCGGCCACCCCGGCAACTTGGGAGGCTCTGCTAGTGCTGCCCCAGGGCTTCAGGGCTGTAATTTAAGTCCCCTAGTCTTGGGATTTCCCCGCCTTAGAGAAGATTTTTCTGGCTCTGCCTTTGTGCAGAGCTTTCACATATTCCACCCCTTTGAACATCTCTTCTCTGATGGAACTATCCCCCTAGCTGTGTTTTCCGGACCATTCCCATTGCTGCTGCCTCCTCCTGGCTCCCTTTCCCACAGCACCTGGAGTCAGTACCACGGTGCCTCCCCAGCCCAGGGGTGCAGGATTTGTCCTGCCACATCTCAGTTCACAGCCCAGCCTGCAGTTCAGGTTGGACATCCAGGGGCTTCATGGGGTACATTCATCTTTGGTGTGATCCACACTAGCCCTCACAGAAGTGCCTGTCGCTGCCACCCCGCACGCGGCAGTGGGATCCCTCCTGTGGAGGGAGACCTGTGCTTGGGGAGCTGCCCCCCGTTCATGTCAGGCTCTTGCTCCACCTCAGTCAAGATCCTTTGGAGACTCCCACCCTGCCTTCCAACACGCTTTCAACCCTGAGGGACAAAAATCGCAGGCACTCTCTAGTCCATCACTCACGGCGAAGCAGAGCCTTTCCCTGCTCCCTGCAGCAGCAGTGGGTTGCTCTCCAGCAGCGCAGCGCAAGAGCTGCAGTGTGAGGACAACGGCTGCCCAGTGCAGAAGGCAGAACCAACCAGCAGCTCATTTGCAGCCCAGGATCTCCCACCCCACTCCACACACCTCCCACAGCAGGGACTGGAAACGCGGCTGGTGCAGCCCTTCACACTCACCATGCCCCCAGCACACATTCACTGTCAGAACCACCACTGGCATCTCCCGACACACGAGAGCCTCAGAATTCAAGGGCAGTGCCTGCTTTATCCCAGCAGGCAGAGGCATTGGTAAGTGGCGCTGCCCTAGCCCCACTGCAGAACAAGGAAGGTCTGGAAAGCCGACAGCAGTCAGCAAGATGGACCATGCAGAGAAGAGAGGGCAGGGAAGCCGGGAGCGAGGCCAGTACCACCAGAGGTGTTATCTGGCCTCAGGGACAAGAGCAAAGAGCAGGCAGAGGGACCCTTCCGGTTTGGCATGCCTTAAGCAGTTGTGAGTAAGCCCCCTCCCCTGTTATCCATGTCTGGAGGATGTGAAGCTGTAAGTCCACCCTCCCAGTGCTTGGCAAGGAGCCCACAACCTCCCCAGCACAGCCACGGTCCCGCAGCTGCAGTGCTCACCTGCATGGTGACCGTGCTTGTCTCCACAGGGACGCAGCGGAGACCCTCATCCCCACAGCAGCCCCCGCAACGCTGCAGGGAGACGCAGGAGGGTCTGAAAATGTACTCCACCTCGTTGGGGAACTCTGTAATGACGTCCACCAGCTGCTCCAGAGGCCGGCAGAAACTACGATTCCAGATCTCCCGAAAGGTCAGGACTGCAAGAGACCGAGGTGGAAGGGCTATAAGGAGGCACCCCGGAGATACTGAGCCCAGCCAACCCACTGCCGGGGCAGGTGCAGCAG